TGCAAACATCACCCAGGGTCACACACAGCACCTCTGTTTTAATGTAAAAAAACTAGAAGCAGAAACCTGTAAAACTACCTTTGAGGGACTGAGATAACACAGGGGATGCAGGGAATGAGCCTCCGCATGGCAAAGTCCTTGGGAGAAACCCCAAAGACACATGGCCCATGGGGCAACTGCTGACCTGCTGCCCTCCAGGCTGCTCCCAGAAGCCTTCTGCTGCCTCAATGTCTGTTTTTCAGGGCAATTGCAGAAAACAGCAGGGACAAAGCTTCCTCAGCAAGACAAACATCAGCCCTGTGCCACATCTGGGTATCTCCTGTGATGAAGAACTTGGGCTTCCCCTTCTCTCTACCCACTACTGCCTCCCTGTTGGCTCTTTGGGCTTGAATGGGGTTTGCACACCTCACTCCATTCCAGAGCCACCCACAACCCTTTAAAAAAAAATAAATCTATTTTATTTATGCATCGTGAATTTCACTTGAACAAAGAGGTTCCCTCAAGAAGAGAAAGGAACAGCTGAACTTTTGCTTCCTATTTTTAAATCATAGAATCATAGAATGGTTAGGACTGGAAGGGACCTTAAAGACCATCCAGTTCCAACCCCCCTGCCAGCAGCAGGGACACTTTCCACTAGATCAGGTTGCTCAAAGCCTCATCCAGCCTGCCCTTAAACACTTCCAGGGAGGGGGCACCCACAACTTCCTTGGGCAACCTGTTCCAGTGTCTGACCACCCTCACAGTGAAGAACTTCTTCCTAATATCTCATCTAAACCTCCCCTCTTTCAGCTTAAACCCATTTCCCCTTGTTTTGTCATTAACTGCCCTTATAAAAAGTCCTGCCTGTTGCCTCTTTTAATATTACTTTCTCAACCTACCTCCTGGTCCACTAAGGTGATATCTGGCCTCATCCCTTCGCAATAATGAAGGTAACGAAGAGCGTTCCCAGGCAAGTCTCCTCTTAGCAAGATCACTGCACCGGTCGGCATAGAGGACAGCAGATTCCTTGCAAACTTATCAACAACATAGTTGTTGCTCTGATCACAAGTGCTTAAGAGAAGAGATAAACAACAGTATCTTAATAACAGGTATTTGCATGGCTTTGCATACCTTCAGAATAATTTTATGCAATAGGCACTGACAGGTGAAGTCCTTCACCCTGATCAGATCTTGCTGAAAAGCATCATCTCCATTTACAAAGAAACCAAGGTACAGAAATGAAGCATTTAGACTACAGTCCCCCAGAAACCAGCACCAGAGACATGAGCCACTACAGTTTTGCCAAAATACACTCTCATCACGTGCCTTCACCTTAATTCCAATTTTCTCTTTGGCTAAATCTACAGACTTACTAGTTAGAGTTGGAAATACCAGCACAACGATGGTTCTGTAAAGCATCTGAAATTCTCCCCATCCTTTTAATGCTTTTAATTAAGCACTAAAAAGCCAAGTTTTTGTAGCATTGGGTAGAAGCAGATTTACATTATCCTTTTTGTTACACAATTGTGTGTTGTGCAAACTCCAGGTATGGACTCAAGAAGAGGACACTCCATGATATGGTTAGTATGAAGTTCTGTGTGTTCTACACTTCACCAGTTGGTCAACCTCTACCTGAGCATCCCTACCACTACACTGATTCCTACCCAAGCCACTGCAGAGTCTTTGGTGTGGTTATGGGATAAGGAAGCCCTACACTACAGATGTAACTCTTCAAAAAGGAAAAAAGGAAAAGCCCAGGGCACAAGGTTTCCTGAAGCAAAGCAAGGGAAGGAGGTGACTGTTCAAGTCAATTCTGCAAACCTGCTTAGGAGATAAAGCACAGATAATGAGTTTCTTTCATTAGAAGTTTATGCAACTACACAGTTTTCTTCCTTCAATCTGCATGAAGCTGGGGAAGGGTCTGGAGCACATGTGTTATGAGGAGTGGCTGAGGGAACTGGGGGTGTTGAGCCTGGAGAAAAGGAGGCTGAGGGGAGACCTTGTGGCTCTGTCCAAGTCCCTTGGAGGAGGGTGGGGAGAGGTGGGGGTGGGTCTGTTCAACCAAGGAACAAGGGACAGGACAAGAGGAAATGGGCTCCAGTTGTGGCCAGGGCAGTTGAGATTGGATGTGAGGAAGAATTTCTTTGCTGAAAGGGTTCTGAGGCATTGGAAGGGGTTGCCCAGGGCAGTGGTGGAGTCCCCATCCCTGGAGGGATTGAAGAGTCGTGTAGACATAGTGCTGAGGGACATGGGTTAGTCGGGGACCTGTCAGTGTTGGGTTCATGATTGGACTCAATGATCTAAAAGGTCTTTTCCAATCCAGGCAATTCTGTGATTCTGTCATACCCCCATTTTCAGCCTGGAATTGGTGCTTAGTGACTTTTAGGAAGATGAAACAAGGGAGTCCCACAGGCTGTGGCCACGCAACCTTAGGTAGGATGTGAGAAGTACCTTTCCCACTTCAAGACAAGGACAGAAACCCCAGGAGCAGGAACGAGGGGTTTACAGCAGCACCCCACAGCCCCACAGGGCTGCAGCAAGACATGAGCACGGGGGATTTGTTACCTGTAATTTGTCCAAACTTGAGAAGCAACAAGAGTGAGAGCAGAAAGCCATTCCAGCCATGGCAGCACCCGGCTGCCCTCCAGCAAGATGCTTCCGACCGAGGCAAGCGTGGCCAGTCCCAGCCCGGCCAGCACAGCCACCACAGCACTGCTCTGCAGCCAGAACCGCTCCACCTAGGAAACAAAATCCCACAGACCCTATTGCTGTTTCCCCAGCTATAAGGAAACAGAGTAAGTAGCTGTATTTTTGCACTTTATGCAGCTTCAAGACAACCACCTGCTCCTCATTAGGTGGTTTTAAGGCTTTTTTCAAAAATTAACATGCCAGAGCAATTTCTGAAGTGCAACTTACCACTCCCAGAAACAAAGGTTTTGTAATATCCAAATTTGCTCTCCAAGCGAAGAAAAGGGAATAGAGACAGAGCATTCCAGCGAAGAGCCAGATCACAGGTGATTTCTGCTGCTTTCTCCTATAAAAAAACAATGTAGAACTCTACTGGCATGATGAAAAAAGAGACAAAAGTTATATGTGCTTGAAAACCTCTCTCTGCACACCTAAATGCATTTATACAAGGAGCTGATGAGACTTTCTTTACCTTTGCAATTTATGAAACTTCTGTTTTCAAAGCACAAAACCATCAGGATTTCAAGATTTTTAAGCTTGCCATCTACAACGTCACAGGGATATTTTGCTCTTAAATTAACAGATGACCACAGCCAATTGTTGAAATTTTTGCACCAGGAAGCAGAAGGCAAAGAAAGCTGCTCCATGCAGCCAGAAAAAAGTGCATGTCAGAGAAAATATCCTCCTCCAACTTACGGCAGTGCTGTGCTCACACAGGCCACGAGTGCCAGGGCGAGGACGGGAAGGGAGAGCTCCGACTTCATCTGCATCAGCTGAAAACTGCAGAGAAATTAGTGCATGGATGTGTCATCCCCTCATCACACCCTGCACTCAAAGTGTCAGGAGAAGCAGGGAATAAGCACAACATAACACATTCCCATTCTGGCTGTGATTAAGTCTACCAGAAATGGAAACAAGGCTGGTTTACATGTCAGGATTTTGAATGAAAAATCACTGGGGAGGGAGATCCAGAATTTCTCCTTTAATGGGGAGGACAGACAGACATGCACGCTGTCCCTGTGCCAGGCACACATGGCCCCAGCTCTGCAATAAGGCAGGACAGGAGCTGCTTTGGCCAAAATGACAGCAGCAGCAACAGGTTTCTCTCCACTAAAAGGCACAGTCTAGATTTTACTCACACCAGCAACTCTCTCATACTGGATCCTGTCTCGGACTTGGCCTAGATTAAAAAGAAAGAAAACCCGTGAGAAATCCAGATGTTGACTGTTATATGGTCAGGGCAAAGAAAAGTCTTTTTATTTTCTGGTTGCTGAGCCCTGAGCACACAAGGCTGCTCAAAACCCCTTCAGGTGGTAGCCCAAGGTGGTCACAGGGAAGAGGAATTGCTTAAAAAACAAAAAGACAGCAAACTTTACTTAAATGTTCATTCAAAGATTTTCTCCCATGTTCCTGTTTTACACTATGCCCCTGTGCAGGCTTTACCACCTGGATAAGCATTTTTTCAAGGTGCTACCAACCCATTACCCTGTGACTTTTAAGCACATCATATGGTTTAGCCATGAATTCAGCTGTATCATAGAATCAAAGAATCATTTAGGTCAGAAAAGACCTTTAAGACCACCGAGTCCAATCATGAACCCAACACTGACAAGTCCCCAACTAACCCATGTCCCTCAGCACTATGTCTACACGACTCTTCAATCCCTCCAGGGATGGGGACTCCACCACTGCCCTGGGCAACCCCTTCCAATATTTGACAACCCTTTCAGTGAATATTTTTCCTAACATCCAACCTAAACCTCCCCCGGCGCAACTTGAGGCCATTTCATCTTGTCCTATATCTGCACATTGCAATTATTTTCTGGGACATCTCCCTACAGACTGAGACAAGCACGTGGGTCTCAATTCCTGTTTTTTTTGCTTACCAAACTCACCCCTCTCCCCTCTGCCCTGAGGCAGAGCTGTATGAGATTTATATAAGATATATGAGAATTTTTATTGCAGAGACTTGCAATCCATGGCACGAGTCTGGGAAAGAAGATGTTCTTGGTGGAGGTGAGGAATTACCTTCATAGGTGCTTGTCGGGGAAGTGGTGGCTACCAGATAAAAGAGAAGGTAAATGGATCCAGGAGGTCTGGAAGGAGTATTTAGTCTCAATAAAAATTGAATAGTTAATTGCACTCAGTATTTAATTAAAAAATAAGTGTCAGAGGTGGGAGAGCTTGCCCACAGCTCCTGAAGCACCACCACTACCTCTCTGTTCCTTGCAAAGTCCCAGCAGCTTCTGGTCCCAGACACATCCCTCACAGGAGACAACATTTCTGATCTTTGGCTTATAGGTGGAACCCTCTCATGAGTCTTTTTTGCTGTTGTTTGGGGTTTTTTTTTCAACTCTGCCTGCCTTTAAAACAGAGCCATGGAATGCAACAGCTGTCTGTCCATCCAGGCAGGGCTCTGGCATCAGCCCAACCAACATCAGGATCATGGATTCGCCGCATTTACTGCTCCTGCTTCAGACAAGTTCATCCTAAATGTGATTTGTGGAGCAGGATTACACACAGTCCATTCCTAAGCCTCCTGAACATCAACTTGAATTCATCACGTTTGATGGAGAAAGGAGTTACGGGATTTGCATGCCTTGGTATTGCTCTGCCCAATGGAGTCTCATTTTCAGGAGACAGCTGGGAATAGGGCAACAGGGGAAATCTCAGAAGTCCTTCAGAGGGTGGATCTTATCTCTGTAGGAGTTTTGGAAAGATTAAGTGGCAGCAGCAGGGATTATCAAGTCTTTTTGCCTCACATCCTACAGCCACCCGGCTCTCCGAAAAGACTGTAATGGAACAGCAACGGTTCTTGCTGTGTCACACTGGCTGGATGCAGAGTCTTAATTTCTGAGGACATGGGGCTTCAAGACCCCAAGGAGTGACACAATATGTAAACCATTCCCTTTTTCTACTTTTTCCCTCCAGTGCTGTGATTTCCCAGCCCTCTGCACTGAAATCTCCAAAGCAGGAAGGACAGAAGGGGTGCTGGGCACTTGCTTTCCTTGGGTGGACAGCAAGTTTTGTCCTTGGCCAAACATCTCAGTCAGGGCTGGAGGAGGCAGATACACACCCTACGCTCTGCAAGTGACCAGGTAATACCTCCCTCCCTTGGCAAGAGCACAGACCTGTCAATAACTCAAATCAGAGGTTTCCGAGACCCCCTCAAACCTACTATTCATTTAAATTTAATACTAGTAAGAAGTTAAGACGAATCTTTTTTAAAGGTACAGCAATGAAAACAGCAATGAAAATTTAAAACCTCTTTAAATAGCTGAGTTTAAAATAAAAAAATAAAGACAATTATGTGTCTTAAAACAAGAAAAACACAAAATTGATGTCACCATCTCCCTCTATTTGGGCTCTTACAAAGAGTACACCGGTACAGCTCCCAGTAAATACAGCTCACCTAGTAAAGGCAAAGAGAATTATTTCTTTGCCTTCCCAGCCACATGATTCATTCCCAGAAAACCTGACAGATCAGAAGGTCAAAATTGGAAATACTTTTTTAAAAAAGAAAATATTTACAATTTCTTCCCCCGCAAGCCATTAATCATCACAAATAGCAAGGTCCTGCTATTGCATAAGTTAAAAGAAAGTCATTTAGAAAATGACCCTTATTTACCAGATTGAATGTCCCATATTCTTCCCTGAGAAAGTGGGTCAAAAATCCTTGAAAAGTCGTCTGGTCTCCCCATGTCCAACGGGCTCGATTGAGGTAGGACGAAGCCGGCAGATAGAGATAAGGCAGCAAACCAGCCAAGAAGCATAAACCCAACTTCAGGAAATGGCCTAAGGACAATTCCTGCACCAAAATATGTCATATTGCATAACAATGTTTATTTTAGTTTAATCACGCTGGAACTTCAAGAACAGATAAAGAAAAAAAAAAAAACCAACATCAAATATATTTACACAGCACTGATCTCTCAATTTATAGTAAGTCCCTCCAAAATGCTATGTTAAACCTTACGATTTTGTGGATTACCAGGAAACTGCATCAAACTGATCTCCTTTGCATGGCAGGGTGAAATTTAAGTGAAGCAAATAATATTAGCTAGGACTCATGAGTATCATACTCATTGCATCTTTCACATTTAAATCATGGCATGACATGCATAGATGGCTGAAGCACTGCAAGGCTGAGATAACCCACTTTGCAGCGATTAAGAGTTGGCTGGTATTCCATCTGGCAAAAAAAAAAAAAGCAAAAAAAAAGCAAGCTGCTGTAGTACAACTACACACATCACCACCATCATCAGGAGGCAGTTTTGCCATTTACTCGATCGTGATTACACTGGCTAAATTGGATAGGCCAACTTTTGGGGTGGGATTTTCAAGATTGCCTAAGGGGTCAGGAAGACAAGACTTTCAAAGGGACTTCTGTGCCTAACTCCTTTAAGTGCTTTGGAAAATCCCACCCTAGAATATTGCACGCTTGCTTTATTGTTAGCCACTGTCCTGTCAATCAAAGTACTTCTTCAGCAGTTGGGGTGATGGGGAAGAGGCATCATTCAGAGTGATGATCCACAGAGCAGAAAAAGTAGCTTGAGAACAGTGGTGGCCACAGTTCCTTCAGAAGAACACTGGCTCTTTTTTACTTAAAAAGTTAATGTTTTTCATCAATTATCTTTCTTATTAGGTGGTTTTCAGCAGCAGGCACTACTGGGCTGTCTAAAGTATTCCCCAGGAATATTATATTGGCATAGGATTGTCCTTGCTGGAAATCACAGGTCTTCCCTGGACCTCCTCCATGAAAAACAAAAAACAACCTCTGTTTAAAGAACACATATATTGCAGAAGTGAGTCTCCTTTGTATTAAAGGAAATACGTAGTCAGAAAGTAGTTTGCTGGAGATGCTGAACAGATTTTGGACCAAGCTTATCAGAGTTGCATCTCATCTCTTGAAGCTTGCCTGCTTCACTCCAGGCGTAGTTATACCCTGTGCCATCACTCAGAACCACACCTGGTTGATCAGGTTGAGAGTGGAAAAATTCAGGCAGGACTGTCCCAGCAGAAACCTGTCCACAGTCACCTTCAGGCGGGCAAAAGAGAGCAGGGGAGTAGATGGAGGCTTCTCAGGGCCACTTGCAAAGTGATCAGAGCATCTGCACCATTGAGATGTGCAGCTGTTTTCAGGGCAAAGTAGAATTTCTACAACACGTCTACGTCCAGCTTGATGCTCTGACTCACAGAAGAATCAGCTGCAGAAGATAAGAGCCCCCTGAATGATACCCGGGGGCCTCATCCGGATGGATGCACATCACCTTCATAAGCCAGGCATGCAAAAAGGTGGTTTCATCTTCTTACACAACTAGCAAGCTTAATAAAAGAAGAAGGAGGGACTTCTTGAGAATGGGATCTCTGGTAGGAGATGAAAGGGACATGCTTGACTGCAACAGGGGTTTGCTGTTTCACCAAAGGTCAGCCTTGCTTTGGTTTTCTCCAGCTGGCATGGACCTGAGAGCTGATCACACAAGTCCTGGCTGCATCAGAGCTGGAGGCACATCCCAGGGAGATGCTGAAGATCTGCCCCTAGAGAAAAGCATCTGCACCTTTCTTGCTGTGCTGCTCATTCTGCCTGTGCCTTCAACACCAACAGCAGTTGCAAGATGCTCTACTATGAGTGGACACAGCTTTCGTTTGCTACCACCAGGGAATCCACATAACAGCAACTCATCTCCAAATGAGCTGGTGGCATGAGAAAGCCAGTGCCATCAGCCAGGAGAAGCAGAGCCCAGACCGCACATGCCTGTGACTTCTCACCAACAGATGACTTATCTGCTTTCCTGTTTGGTAAGACATTGGGCATCCTTTTATTTCCTACAGGCTGGGCACTTGTTACCTCCAAGTATTGGTCCCGTGGATGTGTACAAGGTGTCTGCAAGCAGCTGGGGCAGAGCACTCCCATGCCAGGAGACAGAGGGAGGTCGCAGATTGCTGGTGTGAGCAAAGCCTCTAAATCATCATCAGTGGCTCTGGTATCAGACTGATGGACCTTAACTTCACTGGGTTATGACCATCCCTGTTCGTGCATCAACACAGAAGTGACACAAGTGCTTGGAAAGAAGAATTACTCACTGCCTTAGAAAAACAGAGCTATGGGTTCACAAAATACGTACCGTCCTTCTGAAAAGCCGGGAGAGAACCCAGGGCGCGATACAAGCGACGTAGAGCACTATGGTGTGCTGATTGCACAAACTCAGCCCGCAGCAAAAGGCACCAAATTTAGAGATCTAAAAGGGGAAAAAAAACACATTCACAAATAATCTTTACAGTTTGCAAAAACATCCAGAGACCAAAAGAGCTTCAGTGCAGCCCACAGCGTGCTTACAGGAGAAAGGCAAATACACCAGTGAGCACCAGTCAACGGTAACACAGATAACACCGGCTATTTTTCATTAGGTACAGGGAGATTTAATTTGTTGAGCAGAAAACGTTATTTAAGAAGCATCCAGCGCAATGGCTGTGCCTCCATCTATAGAGAGAACACCTGTAGCACCATCATGTTGTAACGATGCGACAAGGTCCAACTCCTGAACCCCTGCTGCACAGAGGAGACTGCCCAGCAGTTAACTCCAAATGATGCAAAGTTTTCAGAAGCCATACCCTAAAATAATGCCATTGTGTACAGAGACCTCATTTTCTGTAACAGGAATTATATTTTCCTCTTCTTCAGGCACAGAGGACTAAAGTCAGGGCTACACAAACTTCCTAAGCGAAGGGAATTAAATGTGATAGCTCTCATTAGTCTAAAAGCTCATTTTCAAGCATTTTTGAAATAGTTTTCTGATAAAAACGAGTTAACACATCCAGATCATGCAGCACGGTGCAGGGTATTTCTGGTACTCACTGAGGGTTACTAACAGGTTCGTTACTGCTTCCATGGCCATCGCTGGCTGATGCTTATGTTTATATGGCTGATGTTTATAAATATGTTAAGGGCGAATGTCAGGAGGACGGAGCCAGGCTCTTCTCAGTGATGCCCAATGGTAGGACAAGGGGCAATGGGTGTGAGCTGGAACACAGGAGGTTCCATTTAAATTTGAGAAGAAACTTCTTTCCAGTGAGGGTGACAGAGCCCTGGGACAGGCTGCCCAGGGAGGGTGTGGAGTCTCCTTCTCTGGAGACATTCAAGGCTCACCTGGACGCCTTCCTGTGTGATCTCATTTAGGTTCCTGCTCTGGCAGGGGGATTGGACTGGATGATCTTTCGAGGTCCCTTCCAATCCCTGACATTCTGTGATTCTGTGATGCTAAGGAAAGTCCCTCTCTGCCCCATGCTGCCATATGCTCTGCTCTGTCCCAACACCATCAGACCAGTGCTGAGTCCTCTTCGTTCAGTGGGGGACAATGAAGCCACCAGAGCAACTTCATATAGAAACCTTGGGTCAGTGCCACATACACTACCGGCCACTGCTGCTCCTCCAAATTTGCCTCCTCCTCCTTCTCAATCACTGGCCACTTGGTCTATGTTACAACCTGAATCTAAGCCCCAGGGCAGCTCCTTGGTGTGCAAAAAGCCACCAGAGTGACACAGATGTTGTTGGACAGGAACTGACAACCCATTCTCATAGAATCATAGAATGGTTTGGGTTGGAAGGGACCTTAAAGATCATCTAGTTCCAACCCTCCTGCCATGAGCCCTGTCATCTCCCCAGCCATCCCCAAGGAGGGCAGCACTTCCATCTGTCATCAGAGCATCACCCCTGCTTATTTCAGTTACCGGTGAGAATGGAGTGTGAGATGCAAACACTTGCCTTGATATGATGATGGGATCACCTGGTCATTTTTATTTCACTGCCCAGCATTCAAGATTGAATGCTGCCGTGCCATGGAAACACCTGCCAACTTCTGAAAAATATTTGTGGGCTTCAGAGCTGCCCTGCAGGACTCAGAACAACCTCAGTAATTTTTGGAGTACATCAATGAACTCCAAGCATACCCCTGAAGATGTCTGCACAACCACCTTATTTATGAAAAGTGCTGTCAGCTTGCTGTTGGCAGCCTGGCTTCTTCAAAGCATGGGATGCCAGACAGCCAAAAAACATTGAAGCAAGCTCCTTAACTGCTTCTGAAAATCTCATCTGAAAATCCCATTGGAAATTGGGCAAAGGAAACAAGGAAGCAGGTTGGAAAATGCCCAACTCCACCTTCGTGGAATTCAGGTTGTAGGGATCTTGGGACAGTACTCATCAGAAAAGAAAAAAAAAAAATCCAATGGTGAAACAAGGTCTCTGTAACCACTGATAAAACATGTTATTTGAGAACTTGCAAAGCTGAGTAAACTACCACTGCAGACTCCTGAAATTCTAGCCTAGCCTGACAAAAATCCTTTTATTCACACAATTTACAGGAGTCACAGCAGGCAAGCCTGTGAGAGGAGAAGAGATCAGATGTTCAGGCAAATAGAAGTAGAAAGAACAAGACTGCTGAGTAAAACTATCACTTGGCTTTCTAGTCTGTTTACAAAGTAGAGAAGATAGCATGAAATTTAAAGTCTCTGTGTTTAACAATGCCATTATTTCAGGGGCACATTTAATTTCAAAAGAAGAACTCATTGAAAATTTGGTTGTTTCTGGTTTTCAGTAGAAACCTGGGCTTCTGACTAAATGAAGTTTTCTGTAAAATATATCTATTTACTCCAAGGAAAAATATCAGTTCTGAAAACAAAAACTTGAACATCCACAGCCTAGTTTTGAGTCCTGAATTCGGGAAACCAAACTTTGCTCTAAAATATTTAGATGAAAATGATTTTGCTTTTCCCATTTCCAACCTGTGTGTATTAAACAAACCAACCCCAAACCCATCCAACAGGTCCCAACTCAACCCTTAAGCAAAATGGGACAGGTTTTTCAACGTTTGGCACTTTTGAACATCCAGGTAGGTCAGGGATGGACACCACCAAGCACAGGTGCTGAACCAAGTCCTAAAATTAAATCAGCACTAACAGGAAATTAAACAGACACGTGATAACTAATTGAAAAAAAAAAATATTACAGAACTATTCACTTTGCTTGAGATGTTTTACCTTTGATCTCTCTTTTGCAGTGGATGCCTCCTCAAAATGCACGGTGAGAGCCATCAGCAGCCCCACAAACAGATTGTTTAAGCTAAAAACCTCCGCCGCGATGGACCACTGCCATGTTAGACGAGAAAATGAAAACACCCCCGCAGCAAGGATTCCTCCAGCATATGAGCCAGAAAGCCTGCAAACACAGATAACATGAAATCTTCTTTTCCAACAAAAAAAGCCTACTTTATTGTCCTTTTTTTATTTTTTTAAAAATTTTTTTTTAAACATACTGTAGCTGCAGAAATGATGACTGCCACCCAGCACCCTGCCAAAACATTATATGGTTAATACCTTCCTAATAATTTCTTCGCAAAGAATCGCAATTAGGAAGAGCAGGCGTTAGCCAGCCCGTCTATTCGCAAGCAACCCAACACCAAAGAGTCGGCTTCTTCTCAAAAGCGCCATGAATACTTCAAGTATTGAATCTGGTTCAGAAACCCTGGTAAGCGATGGTCCAGCAGGTCGTGGTACATCAAGCCAGGGAGTCACACCTCTAACGGGATACTCACTGCTGGAGGAGATGCCAGTGAAGGTGCAGCCTAAAATTCATCAAGGAGCTGAATAAAGAGTGGATTAGAGCTATTCATGATGGACAGCATTAGCAGAGCTTTCCTAGGGGGAGTATTTAGTGTCTTGGGGGTGGGTGAGGATTGTGGTGTCCATGGTCTCAGCAGGGAGAGGTGCCTGCTGGAGTCAGGAGTAAGGAAAATGGGTGTCAGCTCCAGCTAGAGGGAGGGAGCAGAGGAAGTGGGTGAAGCACCCACTGTTGGGATGGCTGTGAGCCCAAAAGCTGGGCTACTCCCAGATGGGATTATGGAGCCGCTTGCCCAACTCAACTGGATGCTGCAGCCAGCACGGAGAGCCCACGAGGTGGGATTTAGCCCAAGAAATCTATTATGCCCATTCTGCAACAGTGGTTCTTCCCACTCAGTCACATCAGGGGCACCTCCAGCTCTGCCTGCTTGGAAAGTCTCCCTTCGGGAAGTCATCCTGAAAAGACGCCATGTAGGGCACCATAACTAGCTCAATTAAGCTTTATCCAAGGACAGAAATAGCTGCAGCTATGGACAAAGCTCCTCTCCAGGAATTCAGCATCCCACCGTAAGACTAAGCCAGGCTCTACCACAAATTGAGTGTTTTTCTAGTCCCACCCCACGTACGCACACTTCCATTTAGTCCTAACATTTCCAGCAGGTTTAAACCAAAAATTATATGATAGTCAACTTCTTCATCAAGTTACATGTGTAATTTGCTCCTAAATACTGACCATATCTTCTAGTGCAGCCAAAGTCCCCAGGTGCCTTATTCTGCCCATCAGGGATTGGAGAGTGGACATCCACGTAGGACTTGCTTATGGGGTTCCTCATGTAACACTGAGATAAAGTGAAACAAAACCTTCAGTCCCTAGGAACAGAGATGAGGGAGCTGCTGGCAGAGGAGGGCTCCTCTCCTTGGTCATGCTTGCTTTCCACCTTCCCAAAACAACCTCAGTACAGCCAACCTACTTCTGTAGATGTCAAAAAAGGACTTGTGCAGTCAGAACAGGTATTTTTAACCCATTAAAATGGGAAGTAGGGTTCATAGTGAGGAGAGGACTAGGATGAGGGCTCAAGACCAGGTATCTATTCCTCCTCCTGCCACTGACATCAGACATCCTGGGTGGTCTGGGACAAGCCACTTGCTGGTGCTGCCTCAGGTATCTGCAAAATAGGACTAATGATTTGTATCTCCTTTGTAAAGCATTTTGAGATCTGCAGCAGCAGGAGGTAGGTGGAGGGTGAGAAGTAAGGCAGTTCAGTTAACACTAGAGAAAAAGAAACCAACTCTCAGGTGTCCAAGGCCAAAGCAAGACAAATTCAGGGTGACATAGAGCTTCAGCATCAAGATTGTAGGAAGGGGTCTTGAAAAAATCAATTAAAGGGGGAAAAAAATATCTGAAATTTCCCAACTGACAGCAGGTGGGATTGTTTCAGATCAAATCTGCGTCTGCAAAGTACCCTGTAAGCTTTGGAAGAAAGGTGAGGTGGAACCTCTTCTGTTGGAAATCAGGCAAACTTTGAAGTATCTACTGTTGTGCTAATTCACGCCACCATGGTGGACTCTTCCAACATCTACACTTCACTGCAGTTCAACACAGGTCTGGGTATTTGGCATGAAATTCTCCAAGGCAAGACCTGTCACTCACCCCATTAATATAACATTTCAAAACACACAATTGCATCCAGAAAATGTGTTTACAGGCATGAATGTGGCTCCATCGGTTTTGCTATCAAGTCAGTCCAGCAGCCCTGAGTCTACTTCCTCAGGGGTAGAGGGAGAAGTGGGACACACACAACCTATCTGGCAAAGTTCTCAGCCTCAAGAGCTCTGGTTATGCTCTCCTCCTCCCTGTCACTAGAAAGATGTGGCACCCAAATAGAAAAAGGAAAGATGCAATGGAGTTTGCAGGAATCGAGTCAGGAGTGGTTTCTGCTCCTAAAAAAAACCACCAGGAAAGGGCAGCAGGGCCATGTGTATTTAAAAACAGAGAGATCCCCCCGATACACAAACCCCACTGCACAACATCCCAGAGTTGTGATTAAACCTTTTTAACAGTACATTTGTTATAAAGAAAGAAACAACTTCTTAAATCCCTTTGAAACTCTTGCAGGGAAATAAGGTTAAAAAAGGTAAAACAACCTTCTCAAAAACCTTTGGATGAAAAGCAGCATTTTAGGCAAACGTCCCAATCATTTACCAATTCTCCTTGTCTTTCCCAGAAAAGACTTGAGCGTATCATTAGAGTTCAAATGAGATGAAAGAAACCCTGTCCTCTCGATAAAAAAAGTCTCAAACCTGCAATTCAAGTTTTATGAAATAAGGCTTAAGCAAAAGCTACTCAACCCAAAGCTTAAAGACTTATTCCAGCTATATGGGGCAGGGGACACCTCTGCTCACCAAGCAGTGCAAGGTCAGGATCCAGCACTGAGCGTGGTCCACAGATCTGTTTGTCAACAGAGACGGCATTGCCTTTAGTTTCTTGTGAAGCTCATGGGGAAGCCAGGCTGCTAAGCTTGCTTTATGAAAGCATGTTGCATGCATGGAGCACTAAGCTCCTACAAGTATATTAAATGCTAAAAAAAAGGGAAATCTGTTGCATTTTTTATGAACATCAAGACAGTAGCTTTGGGAAATGCAAGCTGGAGACCAAGACTTTTTTGCAGATTCTGTTTAGAGCAAAGGAAAAGATGGATTTCCCAGTTTGGTGATTGAGAAGAAAACACTCTGGAAAGTGGAAGCGATCAAACCAGGTATCTCTAGATGAGGATGAAGACCCATCTGGCAGAAAAAACCCCACATATAGCAGGTTGACCCAACAAACACAATCATTGATGGTGCAAAGTAGCACCAGCAGGGCCAGCAGAAATGAATCCCGTGCAACTGTGTCAGTGTGATGCTGGGGCGAAATTAAATCAACCTTGCCATGGGCTAACATGGTTATCCTGCTCATTTTGATCGACGTAAGGATCTCCACGTACCATTGCACCCTGCCATCTGGCAGCCTCCTGGACTTCTCCAGCACGGAGTGACATTATGCTGCATCTCTCTTGCCTTAGCACCAAGAATGGCCCCCAAACTCACACACTGTCCAAGGAGGTGGCAAAGCAACTCCAGCATGGACAACACAGGTCAGCCACCTACAACACTTTGAATTAAAGAACAGTTTCAAGGTGGGAAAGACACTCGTGGGTGTTTAGTCAAGTAAGGCAGAAAGAGATGAAAGAATGGAAAAGGCACAAATATGACAGTAAAATAGAGACGGGAAGAACTGAAAGAGCAAAGGGATGGGGCAGAGCACTCGACCCAAGGTCAAGAAGCTTGAAGCCAAGAAGGGAGATGAAAAGACTTGCAAAGCAAGACAATGCAATCTGTAACTGAAGATGCCACTGGTGACAACATGTTGCATGAGGAAGCAGGACATTAGGAAGCCAGAAGAGAATGGTTGCTTTAATTACAGGCATCAACAGCATTTCTGTGGTTAAGACAGAGTACGTTGTGGAAGGTGGTTAAGGCAAGAGGTAAAGGAGACTTCCCATAGTGGCAGCAAAAGCTCAACAACCCAATTACCAATGTCAAGATGGAGAGGGAACAAGGCCAAGAAGCCATTTCTCGTGTGGAAGGTAAGAAGGGGTTTTCTCACAGTACGCTGACATATGCCCCACCAAAGTCAAACACCAGGTCTGACACAGACATTGCAAATAATTCCTGCAGTGAAGCCTTGCTGGACAGGAAGCAAGTACACAGCCTCCAGTCTCTGCCACCCAGCCTGGAGACCCACACTCTTACGCCTACACTGGAGGCTTGTGGGTGCACCATGGTCAGGAGAAGGAAACAGTTTGGGTTTTTTCTGAAAATATACTTTAGTTACTTAACACTGTTTCTCCTTTTGACAGCACATATCAGGGCTCCAGAGCAGACAGCAGCAGAGATTTATCCTCACTTGACTTCTACTCATGCTTCTGTCTTTGAACACAATTTTCAAATACAGTTGAGGTGCTACAAAAAACATGGCAAAGACCCATGACAGCTGGATCCTTGACTGGCCTCATGTAAAAGCAACATCTAGGAGGGCTTTATCCCATTGCTTCTGGGGAGCAGGCAGGGTAGCTTCCTGTTCCCCCAAAACCAGCAGGTTTCCCCCAGTCTTTGGAACCAGTATGAGAAAGAACAGATGACTGGAACAAGAGAATCAATAGGTTGCAACAATGAAGCCATGGCAATGGTAATAACCATCCAGTGATCATCTGTCAACACAGCATAGGCATAAAGCTACCGCAGTGACTCACTAAAGGAGATGGGCTTTACAAAGAGCAAAAGGTGGGCAAAACCCTGCTATAAAGCTCTGTCCAGCGAGGGGGAAATGTGGGCTTGGGCTACATAGGGACTATCTCTTGGAGAATAAGGCTGGTAGAAGAAAGCATTCAGATTAGTAACACCCCAACGTTGGAACAGTCTCAGCACAGAAAAATCAGTTCATGAAAGAAGAAAAGATGTGCAGCCAACGCAACAGTGGGAAAGTCTTCATTGCTTCTCCCAGGGATATTACAGTTCCCACCGCCAGCCCCCCTTGGAGAAGCACCAAGCTTGAATAAA